TCCATTCATCCATCCAACCACCATCCATCCATCCATCCATCCAACCACCATCCATTCATCCAACCACCATCCATTCATCCAACCACCATCCATTCATCCATCCATCCATCCAACCACCATCCACCCATCCATCCATCCAACCACCATCCATTCATCCATCCATCCATCCAACCACCATCCATCCATCATCCATCCATCCAACCATCATCCATCCATCCAACCATCATCCATCCATCCATCCAACCACCATCCATTCATCCATCCATCCATCCAACCACCATCCATTCATCCATCCATCCAACCACCATCCATCCATACATTCATCCATCCATCCAACCACCATCCATCCAACCAACCATCATCCATCCATCCATCCATCATCCATCCAACCACCATCCATTCATCCATCCATCCATCCAACCACCATCCATCCATCCAACCACCATCCATTCATCCATCCATCCAACCACCATCCATCCATACATTCATCCATCCAACCACCATCCATCCATACATTCATCCATCCATCACACCACCATCCATCCATCCATCCAACCACCATACATCCATACATCCATACATCCAACCACCATCCATCCATCCATCCATCCATCCAACCATCATCCATCCATCCATCCATCCAACCACCATCCATCCATCCATCCAACCATCCATCCAACCATCATCCATCCATCCATTCATCCATCCAACCATCCATCCAACCATCATCCATCCATCCATCCATCCAACAAACCATCCATTCATCCATCATCATTTATCCATCCATCATTCATCATCCATCCATCCATCATCCATCCATCCATCCATCATCCATCCATCCATCCAACCATCGTCCGTCCATCCATCCATCCAACCATCGTCCATCCATCCATCCATCCAACCATCATCCATCCATCCAACCACCATCCATTCATCCATCCAACCACCATCCATCCATCCATCCATCCAACCACCATCCATTCATCCAACCACCATCCATTCATCCAACCACCATCCATTCATCCATCCATCCATCCAACCACCATCCACCCATCCATCCATCCAACCACCATCCATTCATCCATCCATCCAACCACCATCCATCCATCATCCATCCATCCAACCATCATCCATCCATCCAACCATCATCCATCCATCCATCCAACCACCATCCATTCATCCATCCATCCATCCAACCACCATCCATTCATCCATCCATCCAACCACCATCCATCCATACATTCATCCATCCATCCAACCACCATCCATCCAACCAACCATCATCCATCCATCCATCCATCATCCATCCAACCACCATCCATTCATCCATCCATCCATCCAACCACCATCCATCCATCCAACCACCATCCATTCATCCATCCATCCAACCACCATCCATCCATACATTCATCCATCCATCCAACCACCATCCATCCATACATTCATCCATCCATCACACCACCATCCATCCATCCATCCAACCACCATACATCCATACATCCATACATCCAACCACCATCCATCCATCCATCCATCCATCCAACCATCATCCATCCATCCATCCATCCAACCACCATCCATTCATCCATCCATCCAACCACCATCCATCCATCCAACCACCATCCATTCGTCCATCCATCCAACCACCATCCATCCATACATTCATCCATCCATCCATCCATCATCCATCCATCCATCATCCATCCATCCAACCATCCATCCATCATCCATCCATCCATCCATCATCCAACCATCATCCATCCATCCACCCATCATCCATCCATCCATCCATCCATCCATCCACCCATCATCCATTCATCCATCCAACCACCATCCATCCATACATTCATCCATCCATCCAACCACCATCCATCCATCCATCCATCATCCATCCATCCAACCATCATCCATCCATCCATCCAACCATCATCCATCCATCCATCCATGATCAATCCATCCAACCATCATCCATCCATCCATCCATGATCCATCCATCCAACCACCATCCATTCATCCATCAATCCATCCATCCAACCACCATCCATCCATCCATCCATCCATCCAACCACCATCCATTCATCCAACCACCATCCATCCATACATTCATCCATCCATCCATCATCCATCCATCATCCATCCATCCATCATCCATCCATCATCCAACCATCCATCATCCATCCAACATCCATCCATCTACCCATCATCCATCCATCCATCCACCCATCATCCATCCATCCACCCATCATCCATCCATCCAGCCATCCATCCATCCAGCCATCCATCCATCCATCATCCATCCAACCATCCAACCATCATCCATCCATCATCCATCCATCCATCCAACCATCATCCATCCATCCATCCATCCATCCAACCATCATCCATCCATCCATCCACCTATCCATCCATCCAACCATCATCCATCCATCCATCCATCCATCCATCCAACCACCATCCATTCATCCATCCATCCATCCAACCACCATCCATCCATCCAACCACCATCCATTCATCCATCCATCCAACCACCACCCATCCATCCATCATGCATCCATCCAACCATCATCCATCCATCCATCCAACCATCATCCATCCATCCATCATCCATCCATCCAACCACCATCCATCCATCCAACCACCATCCATTCATCCATCATCCATCCATCCAGCATCCATCCATCCAGCCATCCATCATCCATCCATCCATCCATCCACCCATCATCCATCCATCCATCCATCCATCCATCCATCCAACCATCATCCATCCATCATCCATCCAACCATCATCCATCCATCCATCCAACCACCATCCATCCATCCATCCATCCAACCACCATCCATTCATCCATCCATCCATCCATCCATCCATCCATCCATTCATCCATCCAACCACCATCCATCCATCCATTCATCCATCCATCCATCCAACCATCATCCATCCATCCATCCATCATCCACCCATCATCCACTCATCCATCATCCATCCAACCATCATCCATCCATCCATCATCCAACCATCATCCATCCATCCATCCATCCATTCATCATCCATCCATCCATCCATACAACCATCATCCATTCATTCATCCATCCATCCATCATCCATCCATCCATCCAACCATCATTCATCCATCCATCCATCATCCATCCATCCATCCAACCATCATCCATCCATCCAACCATCATCCATCTCCATCCATCATCCATCCATCATCCATCCAACCATCGTCCATCTCCATCCATCATCCATCCATCCATCCATCATCCATCCAACCATCATCCATCTCCATCCATCATCCATCCATCCATCTCCATCCACCATCCATTCAACCATCATCCATCTCCATCCATCCATCCATCCATCCATCCATCCATCCATCCATCCATCCATCCATCCATCCATCCATCCATCCATCCATCCATCCATCCATCCATCCATCCATCCATCCATCCATCCATCCATCCATCCATCCATCCATCCATCCATCCATCCATCCATCCATCCATCCATCCATCCATCCATCCATCCATCTGATGGCAGCTCATTGGATTTCCACTTGTATGTTGGCAGGATAAAACCTCTTGCATCAAGTTATGCAAAGAGAAATGTTTTCTTCCAGCTGCCTTTTCTTGCATGTGTTTCCACTTTGAGGATTGCTTGGGAGTTTGTTGGCACCACTTTTTTATTCAAGCTAAAAGTTATTTCTTTCAGACTGCAGAAATGCATCAGAGGAAGCCTATTACAGCCAATGTTATTGGGGAGGATAATGTTGAGTATTACAGTCAGTACTCGAGTCGACGGTGGATGATGGGGGATGGCATCACCCTTCTTAAATGACCCCCCCCCATACCATCCCCTGTGACATCACTGAATGTGTACATTTCTATTATATATCAACAGTAATCGCAATAATATTGCCCTTTCAACATGTGCGCTTATGAGTAGCCTGACCAGATTAAAGTGGCACAGGCCATTTCACTGACCTCAGTGGCGCAGCCAGCGAGGCAGGTGGTGCTGTTCTGAACAGCATCACGGCCAAGCAGCAAAGAAGACAAGATTTGAGGGACTTCATTTTTAAAAAACCAACTCTGCTTCAGGTAAGTCCAGAGTCACAACACATTACCTATTATAAGTCTTTTCCGAAGTTCTAATCTCTAGTCGCAGCGATAGCCGCACAACTAGGTAAACTAGTTTGAAGCGCAAACATTTTTCTGTCTTTAAAGTTGTCATAACAACCAAGAATTAGTCTAGAGTGAACAGGCACTACTGAACATTCAGAATCTGGCATAAATGAATGTTGATATCTGACTGCAAGGTCCCTCTGTGACTTGCAGAGTGCCTGTTGTGCCTGATAGGATAGTGTTAACTCATTCATTGCCAGCATCTATCCTCGCTTACCTTAAATTAGCAAATAGAAGCAATACTGATTTTCTGATAAACAGTCTATTTTATAAAATAAATACTCTAAATGAATATTTCAAAGGTGAGTAAAATTATGAGATTCTATATAGGCTTATTTAATTTTCAGGCTAATTCTAATGTATTTCAATTTGTTGGCAGTTTTTTTTTCAGATTTAGAAAATTATTTCATCTGTTTTAATGAATTGAATTTAAATAAAAAATTACTTGACATTTTGTGAGGTTTTGTTCCAAAACCTTATAATTCTAATCTCAATACATTCATTGCCAAAAGTTTTTCCAAGGTGAACTCAAAGAAGTGTCCCAGTGGGAAATTAGTCCCTAACCATGCAGCCAGTCCAGAGACTGACTGCAGTTCTACTGGAAGGTTCCTTCATCAAGGTTAATGACCGACGTACCGGACATGGAACTACCAGACCGTGCATAATGCTTTAGGTTCATTTACTATTTTAATTAGGCTATGTATGCTTCTTAAAAAATACAACTCGACTACTGATTACAGTTATAGGTGCATCTTTTGTGCATTCATAGAAAAACAAAAGGTTGACAGTATCGTGCACTATTGTTAGGCCATAATTACCTCTTTGTTAAAGCGGGACCTCATGAACCATTTGACTGTAACTCCAAACATGATCAGATTAAAGATGAACACCAAGCTGAGCAATCCCACTGTGGTCACCGTCTTTGCAGTGTTATTGGTTATATAACATCTAAACAGAGAGGAAACACAGACAGAAACTTAACGTCCGTTTATGGCGTATTCTCCATATAACACCACTAAGGATGTTTATCAAGTGACGGCCGGATGTTATCATCCCATTAAACGATCGTTATTAGTGGTTATCAGTCCCATAGAATGGCTGAGTTGTTTAAACACCACATTAAATCTTTGTGAAGAAGGTAGGCTACAGATAAACTAGATAAAATAGTAAATAATTTTAGGGTTTTAGATGTGGCTGAAGCGGCCGTTATCAATACTAAGCTGCGTATTATCAGCCATCAGAAACCTACTGGAAGTTAGAGGAAGCGCAGTCTAAAGGGAATCTATGGGACTGATAACTGCTAATAACGGACATTTAATGCTTCGTCACGTCCAAAAAAGGTGCAAGCGAAAAGAAGAAAATGTCAATTATGAAAGCAAATTTACAGATTTAAACACAGTGTATAGTTTTGCACACTATGTTCAAGCACAGAAGTACACTCAAAGGTAGGGGTGTGCAAAATAATCGCCATGACGATGCATCGCAATTCTAATTTTTGTGATCTACTGCATCGATTCTTGACGCCAAGTATCCATTCTTAATTTAAAAAAAGAACAAATAAAATACATGAATGGTTGGCGCACATCAGCCAAATCAAGTGTAATACAACTTCCAGTCCAGCAGATGTCGCTGCGGATGAGTTGACGCTCGCTGCCTTGTGTCACAAGCATTTCTGTGATACTGTGACGAGTCATTCGTAAACAAAACATGGAGGACACTGAGAAAATTCGCCCCGCATCACATTTCAAGTCAGATGCTTGGATGCATTTAGGCTTTAAAAACAAGGAAGGTAATTTGCAAAAGGGGAAATGTACATTTGAATGTTTTTATTTCATTGGTTTAAAGGACCACTGAGGCCATGTAAACGGCACTGATTATCCTTATTTTGTTATTTTAAGTTTGATTATTCCTAAGATCTTTTTGTCAGTGTGTCCACGCCAGTAATAGTAATATTTCTGTCCAGTATTTGTTTCCATGGCAACACCTCCAAAAGTCGTTTCAATAAATACAGCTATGTATGAATTCAGTTGCTTTCAGTTATTTATCAATTGAAGACACGATCCAGATCACACTCAGCCAGTCAGCCACTGGTAAGGGCTGGATCTTTTTCTTACAGTGTTCAGTTAAAATATCGCAACGCATCGCGATGCATCGCAATATTTCAACTATCATGATGCATCGTGATAGAATTTGCATCGTGGCATGTGAATCGCGATTCGAATCAAATCGTGACTTCTTTGCAAATACCCACCCCTACTCAAATGTGTGTGAAAAATACTTTTTTTTTTTAAATTAATTTTATAACAATTTCCTGTCTGGCAATGTGGCAATTGGAATAATTGTCTTGATTAGGGCTGCAACAACGAATCGATAAAATCGATTAAAATCGACTTTTAAAAGCGTTGGCAACGAATTTCATCATCCATTAGTTGTGTCGCACAATTAATGCGTCATCCGCTGCCGCCATCATCGCTGCCACTTGACTGAAACGGGGGAAGAAAAAATACGGCAGAGCGAGGCAGCGCCGCAGGTGCAGTGTTGCCAACTCAGCGACTTTGTCGCTATATTTAGCGACTTTTCAGACCCCTCCAGTGACTATTTTTTAAAAAAAGCGACTAGCGACAAATCTGGCGACTTTTTACGGTGTCACTGGCGGCTTTTGGAGACTCTTACGTGAAAGCATGCATCGTTCCTACTCTGCCGTGGGGCGCCTCCCCCATCCCAACCCCGTTCTCCCGCAGGAGTCCCTCTCAGCGCTGCAGTCAGAGCCGCAGGATGTTTACCCTCAGCGTCCAGACTGCAAATGAAGCGCGCATGCGCCGGGATTGACGGCGCAAATTGATCACAATAATTAAAATAGCCTTTATAAATAAATTAACTTGCAAATTATGAGGGCAAGGCTTTTAAAGTTTAAATCTTCTGGCAAAGATAAAGTAAAGAAGATCCTGCAATTTATGGAAGTAAAGCAGAATAAAATCCAGCAAGATCAGTAATATGTCAATTAATTATCTGCCACATTCCCATGTAAATATCTGTCTTTGGAGGATGTGTTTTTTAGCACCCCTAGTTCTCTCATTTTTATTCCAAATACAATTTATAATTTGAATCACAGGGCTATTTTTATCTCTATGGTTCAGTATTTTCTCAAGTAGCAACTTTAACTGCTATACTTTCCTGTCTTAAAAGGCAGAACTCTTCTAGTCTAAAAAACCTCATTTGTTGAAATGGGGGGGCCTATTGTTTGAACCCCTTAGGGGTTTTTAAAAACAAAAATGTCTTTTTTTGCGCTTTATGAAACAAAGTAGCCTATATTTTGTGGATGTACAGCCACATTTCTCATGTAAGGTTGCGTAGTTTTAGCACAAACATTTATTTTTCATATTGCACCAGGACAGTTAATGAGCAACCTGTACTTGTGTGCTTGTTTGTTCTGAATAAAATGTTTATTTTGGAATAAAGAGGTTAATATAAAAAAATATTTTTTGTCCGATTCATCGATTAATCGAAAAAATAATCGGCCGATTCTTCGATTTTTAAAATAACCGTTAGTTACAGCCCTAGTCTTGATGCCAAAAAGAGCCCAACAGATTTTACTTTCACCAGTGGAGCAGTACGGCTATTGCCATAGTGTTCCGCTTGATTTATGCATATAAATAGCTTTATTATAATTATGCAGGGAGTATTATAGATTATATGGACACTGCAATGTAAGTAGAACATGAAAGGAAAAAACAGAGAAAAGGAGAAAATATAAAAAATAAAGAGATAAAAGGGAGATAATAATACTTCATCAGCATGTTAACTGAAGAGCTTCAGTCTTCTTTCTTACATTGTGGTTTCATTGGGTCTAGATGCGATCAGTGGGGTTCGACCATACATGCTTTTATCAACCATCACAACCACTGACACAACGACAGCTGGAAGACCTGAAACATATCAGTTGCTTCACTTAAAGGTGCAGACATTTGATCTCCCGACTTTTAATTACGATGATGATGATGATGATGATGGCACTCACCCCATCCCACCACGCTGAGCTTCAGCAGGTATCTCCTCACATAGATGTTAAAGACTTTAACCAGGAGAAGATAGAGGTGGAAGCCCTCCAAGGCCATCCAGGTAAAAGAGGCCAACAAGGAATAATGAAGCAGAAGAGCCACATAGAGACAAAGCTCACTAGAGGGCATTGCTGCCACTGCCTGGCTGGGGAGGAAGTGAACGTTTAGGAGGATTAGAGCGACCGCCAGGCTGATGTGGATCTTCTTGGAATCATCCCCTCGGAGTTTCCTAGAAGCCAGAAAGCAAAATTTCTAGGGATGCACGATATAATCGGCCCCCTATCGGTATCGGCCTTAAAACTGAATATGGGACATCGGCCACCCCACCGATATTTAACCCGATATTTGATCAGCTTCTGAGTTTCTAAAGTCTAAAAACAAAAATAAAAATACTACTTCTTCTTCTTCCTCAAAAACTTCTTTTTTACAGACTTAAAAACTTCTAAAGACGAGGGAAAAAATATTGATACCTTAAAATATCCCAATATCTTCATATGCTGATATATTGCCATTTAAAAACACCATATCAATCTCTTTTACTAATGAAATATTGCTATATGTCATCGTTATGCTACGAAATCCCCCGAAAATTCACGAAATTTTGCCATATTTTTATATGTTGATATATTGACGCGGTATCGATCTATTTTACTAACAAAATATCACAAGAATTTGCAAAATATCACGAGAGTTTGTAACAGAACGATGAAATTTCACCAGATTTTGAAAGTAAAATAGATCGATACCGCGTTTTTAAAAATCTGTTTGATATCAGCAAATGAAAATATATTTGAGTATATTATTTTTCAAAGTGTCAGAAATGGATAACAAAACTGCTATTTTCAATGACTACTTATTTTTGTCCAGCTTTAACATCGGTATCGATATCGGTTATCGGCTGCATGAGTTTTAAAATATCGGATATCGGCCAAAATCCCAATATCGTGCATCTCTAAAAAAAGGTTACAAAATGGAGGAGTGGATGTAAATATAAACCAAATCTGTAACAAGTCAAACAGAGAAGAATGACAGAAAGAGAGGATAGAAGGTTGAACCTGCATGACCTTTGATGAACGCGGTACCTTTTTATGATGCAGAGGACGACAGTGATGAGCAGAGCTAAGAGAGAGATACTGCAGCCGATGTAGGTCATGTAGAATAGGATCTCCTCGTCTTTAGCTGAGATTTCTGCAGACACCTTTAGAGAAAACAGTCTTACATTGATCTGTATCGAGGGTTTATTTTGATCTGCTGCTTTTGAAATAAAACTAAAAACTCCTGGATCAGTGGAACGATGTAGATGGAAAAATGCCAGGGCTGGAAATGGTTCCCAGTCAGAGCCTGAACTCTTACTAATCGGGTGTCGTTTAGGTTTTGTTGGCCTGAAAAACCCGATACTGGCCCATGCCTCTGAAAAAGGAGTGGTTAGGGTCGTTGCTGGCCTCGCTGACCGCACTGACAGCGGACCTTTAGCAAGTTTTTTATGTTGAAACTAAGTTGTTTTAGAGACAAAAATTAATGACATCAATGTTTTTTTTGTTGCTATTGTTTCATATCTTTTGATATTGTCTTAAAGGTCATAAATGAAACATTTTCATCCAAACCATTAATTAAAAAAGAATATCTAGATCGGTTCAGAATAAAAAAATATAGAGATTTTATTGAAAAAAAAATTGCATATAAAGTCGGGAGAACAAGTATTTGATACACTGTTGATTTTTCAGGTTTCCCACTTGCAAAGCTTGTAGAAGACTGTAATTGTTATCATAGGTAGGCCTACTCTTCAACTGTGAGTGATGGAATCTAAAACAAAAATCCAGAAAAATACAATGTATGATTTTTAAATAATTCATTTCCATTTTATTGTGTGAAATAAGTAGAATTTTGGCTCTCACAGACATGTTAGTTCTTCTTTAAGAAGCCCTCCTGTTCTCCACTCATTACCTGTATTAACTGCACCTGTTTGAACTGGTTACCTGTATAAAAGACACCTGTCCACACACTCAATCAATCACACTCCAGCATGTCAGCAACTGTTAGCCTGGGTGCCATTCCGAACTTAGTCCCACCCACAACGTTTGAGGTAGTTCGGGAAGTTCGGTCTGGCATTGCTCAATAGTAGCGTGAGTATCCTCGCACAATATCTGGCGGGCCAATCTAATTGTCAGGGCGGGCTTTATACGATGATGGACAGATGACCAACAGTAACGTTATCAACTACGTGACCAAAGCGCGCTTGGGTGACAACAACAATGGCTGCCGCCGGAGAGTTGAGGTGAGTAGATTCTGCTATTAGGTCTGTTCTAGAAGATATCGACAGCAAATTAATTTTAAAAGAGGAACAGAGAAACTCGATCAAGGCTCATCTTCTTATTCCAGGCGTGCAACTGCACGCTTTGATTTTTGTTGACAACAACTATGCGTCGCTTAACATACGTCACGCACTCCGTTGCTCTTATGGAGCAGCATCAGACTCATTCTGACTAGAATTGAGTCGGACTACGCCAGGCTAGTTAACTGTTAAAGGTGAGGAAATGTAAAGAATTCTACTTTTTTTAATATTTTAATCATGATAAAGAAAAAATAAGCCAGTCATACCAGAAGGACTCCGAAGTAGGTGAGATGATTGGAGAAGCAGGTGATGTGGGTCTGATTAGATGTGGTGTCGTCACATTTCTCTGGGGTCGTATCTAGTAAATCAAAGATATGAAAATCGAACATTTATAACCACCAGTAAGGTTTGTGATGTTTTCCTTTTCAGGCAACAGCAGCTCATAAAGAGTCCTGCACCGGGTCGGGTTCCCAGGTAACGGGTCTCAGTACTGAACTCTAAGGCTGCAGGTGGATACAGTTTTGAAAAATCCGACCCATGCAGGACTCTGGCTCATAATGAGACCTTCTGATTGATAAATATCAAAGCCAGCAGCTGTTTTATACTCACCATTAGTTGAAGTATTTAAATACACACACATGGGTTCCAGATGTTCCTGTGATGCACAGTCCTGTTTTAGATTTTCTCTTATCCTTGAAACACTTTTAGTCAAGTTTTAGTGTTATATAGTTCAAATAAAAGTTTAAAGTAGTTAAAACTCAATAAAGAGAAAATCTGTTTACTTTTATACTTGTAGTAATGCTGAGTGTGATCTTGATTGGTTCCTTAAGTCCTGAAACTTCCGTTCCTCGGACACTCAGGGCAATTAACCTGTGATCATAGAGATTCTCCAAACCTTCCCAAACAACCTGCAATACAAAACAAACTACGTTATACATTTAAAGGGTGTAGAATATACACTCACCGGCCACTTTATTAGGTACACCTGTCCAACTGCTCGTTAACACTTAATTTCTAAGCAGCCAATCACATGGCAGCAACTCAGTGCATTTAGGCATGTAGACTTGGTCAAGACAATCTCCTGCAGTTCAAAGCGAGCATCAGTATGGGGAAGAAAGGTGATTTGAGTGACTTTGAACGTGGCATGATTGTTGGTGCCAGAAGGGCTGGTCTGAGTATTTCAGAAACTGCTGATCTACTGGGATTTTCACGCACAACCATCTCTAGGGTTTACAGAGAATGGTCCGAAAAAGAAAAAACATCCAGTGAGCGGCAGTTCTGTGGGCGGAAATGCCTTGTTGATGCCAGAGGTCAGAGGAGAATGGCCAGACTGGTTGGAGCTGATAGAAGGGCAACAGTGACTCAAATAACCACCCGTTACAACCAAGGTGGGCAGAAGAGCATCTCTGAACGCACAGTACGTCGAACTTTGAGGCAGATGGGCTACAGCAGCAGAAGACCACACCGGGTGCCACTCCTTTCAGCTAAGAACAGGAAACTGAGGCTACAATTTGCACAAGCTCATGGAAATTGGACAATAGAAGATTGAAAAAACGTTGCCTGGTCTGATGAGTCTCGATTTCTGCTGCGACATTCGGATGGTAGGGTCAGAATTTGGCGTCTACAACATGAAAGCATGGATCCATCCTGCCTTGTATCAACGGTTCAGGCTGGTGGTGGTGGTGTCATGGTGTGGGGAATATTTTCTTGGCACTCTTTGGGCCCCTTGGTACCAATTGAGCATCGTTGCAACGCCACAGCCTACCTGAGTATTGTTGCTGATCATGTCCATCCCTTTATGACCACAATGTACCCAACTTCTGATGGCTACTTTCAGCAGGATAATGCGCCATGTCATAAAGCTGGAATCATCTCAGACTGGTTTCTTGAACATGACAATGAGTTCACTGTACTCAAATGGCCTCCACAGTCACCAGATCTCAATCCAATAGAGCATCTTTGGGATGTGGTGGAACGGGAGATTCGCATCATGGATGTGCAGCCGACAAATCTGCGGCAACTGTGTGATGCCATCATGTCAATATGGACCAAACTCCCTGAGGAATGCTTCCAGCACCTTGTTGAATCTATGCCACCAAGAATTGAGGCAGTTCTGAAGGCAAAAGGGGGTCCAACCCATTACTAGCATGGGGTACCTAATAAAGTGGCCGGTGAGTGTATGTTCAGTGTTATCAAATATAAAGAAGGGAGTAGATCATTTCAAAATCAACCCCAACTATCTGAATCCAACCCATCCAGTCATTTTATCGGACCCTTTTAATAGCCAAAGACGGCCGATCATATTATAAGGTGGAGGCTTGTGTTTTTCCAGAGGTTACAAATTGGCCAAATCTGGTAAAAGAGTGGAAGTAAATCTATAGTAGTAAAGTAATTTGCTCTTTGTAAAGGAAATTATAAAATCAAAGTGTAATTTATACAGCTGAAACCTGGCTTTTTTAAGTCTTAAAGATGCTGAAGTGGCCTGATATGGAAATTATTTTGACATGCTTTGTCTTCAGAGAAGAATGCTACATACAGTGTTGGGTAAGTTACTTTAAAATAGTAATCAGTTACAGTTACAAGTTACCTTGTTTAAAATGTAATTGTAGTGTAACTTTTTCGATTACTTTTAAAAAGTAATGTAACTCATTACTTTTGATTACTTTTTGATTACTTTAAGGTTTTAATGAGTATTGACCCATGTTCAACATTTAATTTTTGAGAACTGAATGTGAACCTTAAAAAAGCACTAAGCTGAGAGGGAACTGCTGACAGGCGATCAGAAGAGATGCCTCCTCTCATCGGGCCATCCTCTTTTCTGTTCTGTTTTTTAGGAGAGAAGAACATAGTTATCGGTAGTTGTTGTCGCTCTTTTTTTCTTCTGGGCCAAAAGATCCTTATAAACCGACATGCCACCATTAATATGTTCGACAATAAAGTTTAACAATGCATGATGCAAATCCGTGAAGCAGCGAGACCGTGAAAAGTGAACCGCGTTATAGCGAGGGTTCACTACGGAAGAGGATTAGGGCCACTGAAAAAAAAAAAAAAGTTAACTGATTTTTAAATTTTATTTCAGTTTAACATGGGAAAAAGGTCAGAATTCTGACTTTTTTTTATTGTCAGAATTCAGTCAGAATTCTGAGATTAAAGTCAGAATTCTGAGAAAAAAGTCAGAACTCTGGCTATAGAAATACATTGAGTTTAATTTAAATGTAAACTTTCAACATCAACTGTATAAACATAAGCAATTCTGAAATGTATGTACTCTAAAAAACAACCTGCATAACTTCCAATAGTCTTTGTTCTATTAGGTTTAGTAAAACGTGTGTTTTCTCTCTGACCTCATCTGGAAGCTGAATCATCATGAATGCAACTATATTATCAGGTCCGAGTTTGACTTCTTCTGGCAGCTGAAATCTCGCTTTTCTTCTGGGAACATCCTTATCTGCAGCTCCCAGCATCTATACAGAATATGGAGATAGTTATGCATATTTAATGGTTAAAATTAGGAGCAAAACTTCACAATTAAAGATTCAACACATTAGCTTGTAAAAGTTGCTCTGTAAATTTCTTTGTGCAGCTTAAAAAAAAGCTTTTGATTTTATGGATCACCGTATATTTATGGAAAAGTTAAGCTAACATGGTATCAGAGGATGAGCACCTGAATCATTTAAGAAAATACAATATATTTTTCAGAAATAAATGCAATTAGAGCTGACTTGTATTATGTTATGTTAAGAAAGAAAGAAAGAAAGGATTTATTAAAAAAAAATCAAATTAAGTTAAAAAAAGAAAAAAAAGTTGTGAAGAAGTTTTTCAAATTTTTATATCCGAATTGCATTTTCTTCAGATTTCTATTTGAAAAACATGTATTTTAATTTAAAATGACCATTTACAATTTTTTTTTCTTTGCTTAGAACGATGATGGAACAAAATTCACTCCAACTTAAAACTTTCACTGATGCTCGCAGGTTTTAAACATCACCCTGGCACTCCAGATATCGTTTTATCTGAAAGCTGATAATTCTCCAAAATCAGACAGACGCAGGACCCTCCCCCGATGAAGAATTACCAGCATGTCTCCCACCTCAGAGTCACTGACGTCCATCTCTAGCCCCTTGCAGCCAGAGCCTGCTGGCTTATATAGCACAGCTACAGAACAGTTTGAATGGATCCATCTTGTTTCGGTTACTTCTGTTTCCTCCAAAACTTCCTCCATCTGTCTAATTGCTCTTGTGGAGAGAAAAATATTTATTTCACAACAATTCTGGTGCAAAAGAGATGAAATGTAAATGATCTGCTAGAGAATGAAATGTTTACTGGAGTTTGTCACAATGCGGGTTTTTCTTCAGAAATTCACTTAAACGTTCAAAACACCTTTCAGCCTTTTCAGGTCCTGTGGGGTAAATTAATTAATGTTTTACTAAATAATGAAGCATTAAAATGATGCCATTTCTGGAAAGCAGTTCTACATTATGTTTATTATTTATATAATGCATCTTACCAGGTAACTTTTCACAGATTCTTGGGTTTTTGGAGCATTTTGCAGGTTTTATTGGACCTTTACAGGCTCCCATATTTTTAGTGGGATGAAATAGAAAACAGAATAATCCCAACAAAGACGCCCAATGCTTCCACCTGTAAATTGAAAATAGTTGGTGTCACAAAAGCCTGGGTTTCACACAAAAAAAAAAAAAAAAACAGATCCCAGCATTCCCCCCCCCCCCACAGAGCCATAAAAACAAATCTGGATTTTTCCAAAAACTTTGATTAGACCTCAAACAAAATCTCTTAGTTTCAAAAGTATTTGAAACTTAATCCTCAGATGGATAAGGGTTTGAATTTCCCCTTTGGGTCATAAATGTTAAATATGGAGAAAGACTCCTAACATAAAGAGAAAATAAAGCGTTTCAATTATATTGTAAATATATGTGTGTATTTACATAGTAGCAATAAAGAAAACTCAGAAGATAAATTCAGTCGGAAGCAGGAGAGTAAATGGAAAAATTAATTAGAGTGTTAATATATTATACTTATCCTGCAATCATTAAATTTTTACTAAGCATTATCAGAGAAGATTTAACTAATATCTAACCCATATTTGTCTAACTTAGAACCGAATGAACACTGGGCCTCAGGTTTTCTCTTTTTTTTGCATTTATTCTGACCTGATTTCTAAACATTGGCTATCATACACTGATTTATATGGAGGATAAAAAATGCCAAAATTAAATAAATAAATACAGAATTAAATAAATAAATAAATGTGTCATTAATTAATTAAAACCACGTCCCTAATATAAAGTGCCATAATTAGATAAATAAATACAGCGATAAACAATTAATTAAATAAATAAGGAATTGAATATATAAATGTGTCATTAATTTAATAAAATACGTCTTCATTTTATTAAAAAAATATATATAATTATTTCAGTGTGCATTTAATTATTTCATGGTCCTGTGTCGCAGTGCATCGAAACCATTAAAAGAATCTGTCAAACTCACCCATCAAAGTTAGGGGGCGGTTATCTAACACCTGATTGGTCACCCTGCACATTAAGGCGGAGCAAATCGATTACAGAGACTTGATTGGCGTTAGCCCCGCCCCCTAACTTTGATGGGTGAGTTTGACAGATTCTTTTAATGGTTTCGATGCACTGCGACACAGGACCATGAAATAATTAAATGCACACTGAAATAATTATATATATTTTTTTAATAAAATGAAGACGTATTTTATTAAATTAATGACACATTTATATATTCAATTCCTTATTTATTTAATTAATTGTTTATCGCTGTATTTATTTATCTAATTATGGCACTTTATATTAGTGATAATATTTTCTTGGCACTCTTTGGGCCCCTTGGTACCAATTGAGCATCGTTGCAACGCCACAGCCTGCCTGAGTATTGTTGCTGACCATGTCCATCCCTTTATGACCACAATGTACCCAACTTCTGATGGCTACTTTCAGCAGGATAATGCGCCATGTCATAAAGCTGGAATCATCTCAGACTGGTTTCTTGAACATGACAATGAGTTCACTGTACTCAAATGGCCTCCACAGTCACCAGATCTCAATCCAATAGAGCATCTTTGGGATGTGGTGGAACGGGAGATTCGCATCATGGATGTGCAGCCGACAAATCTGCGGCAACTGTGTGATGCCATCATGTCAATATGGACCAAACTCCCTGAGGAATGCTTCCAGCACCTTGTTGAATCTATGCCACCAAGAATTGAGGCAGTTCTGAAGGCAAAAGGGGGTCCAACCCGTTACTAGCATGGGGTACCTAATAAAGTGGCCGGTGAGTGTATGTTCAGTGTTATCAAATATAAAGAAGGGAGTAGATCATTTCAAAATCAACCCCAACTATCTGAATCCAACCCATCCAGTCATTTTATCGGACCCTTTTAATAGCCAAAGACGGCCGATCATATTATAAGGTGGAGGCTTGTGTTTTTCCAGAGGTTACAAATTGGCCAAATCTGGTAAAAGAGTGGAAGTAAATCTATAGTAGTAAAGTAATTTGCTCTTTGTAAAGGAAATTATAAAATCAAAGTGTAATTTATACAGCTGAAACCTGGCTTTTTTAAGTCTTAAAGATGCTGAAGTGGCCTGATATGGAAATTATTTTGACATGCTTTGTCTTCAGAGAAGAATGCTACATACAGTGTTGGGTAAGTTACTTTAAAATAGTAATCAGTTACAGTTACAAGTTACCTTGTTTAAAATGTAATTGTAGTGTAACTTTTTCGATTACTTTTAAAAAGTAATGTAACTCATTACTTTTGATTACTTTTTGATTACTTTAAGGTTTTAATGAGTATTGACCCATGTTCAACATTTAATTTTTGAGAACTGAATGTGAACCTTAAAAAAGCACTAAGCTGAGAGGGAACTGCTGACAGGCGATCAGAAGAGATGCCTCCTCTCATCGGGCCATCCTCTTTTCTGTTCTGTTTTTTAGGAGAGAAGAACATGGTGACGTGGTTTTAATTAATGAATGACACATTTATTTATTTAATTCCACATTTAATTAATTGTTGACACATTTAATTATTTATTTAATGCTGTATTTATTTATTTAATTTTGGCACTTTTTATCCTCCATAATTTTAAAGGTATTGTGGAAGATAAAAAAAAAAAAAAAGCATGTGCAAAAGCATTCAGTAACCCATTTATCATCGTGCACGCCCTGTTTAAAGTGTGCGGTTCTCACAGCTCACAGAAGCGTACTGCGTCCGCATACGGCGGGGACGATAGAGTGGACTTTATAGCGAACTGACCCTTCGGACGGACGATCACTACTTTTTGCTCCCTGTTGGTCACGTAATTTCACCTCCTCCTGGTGCCTGTTTTATCTTTGTTCGCATAAGTGGTTCTAGACAGGGGCCAACGGGGGCCAGTGTCCCTGTTATGGCCCCTGTACTGAAGACATAATACTTAAAAGAAATTCTAATGATGATCTTTGCTGGAACAGAAATGGTTACCGATAGCTCCTTTGGATCTATTTCATTTTTTTCTTTACAAATTCTGTTTTACTAATTATTTTAAAACAATAAGGTGATAGCTTCATTCGTACTGAGATAGGATCCCGGTTTTCATCTACTAAATGTTTTTTTTTTTAAACAAATTTTAAAAATACTCCAATTTTTAAAGCTGGATTTATCTGTTTTTCTTGAGTTCTAATTCAGATTTTATAGAAAACAGTTATTTTAAATTAAATTAAGTCAGAAATATGTAAATTTCCTAAATTCCGAATGTATATTGATCTAACAGGACATAAAATTTTAATTAAACATAATTAAATAGAAATTTCAGTTCATGCAGCTCTCTTAATATATTTGATTATATTATATATTAATGATTGACAATTAGGAGGATGACTTATTGAGATGATCCACCCAGAACTAAAAGATCGTCCTCGGTACCTTTAAGACTGGTCTGGTTTTTCCCAGTGAACTCTTGTCTTTTCTGTTACATTAGTCACTTCCTCTTCCACTCTACACTGCAAAATTATTAATAGTCCTATAAAGAATATGATTTATAGTTGTTATGTGAAAAAAAATCTCCCACCTGAGCTTTTGGGTCTCTGGAGAAACCATGTTTGCATCTCTGACTAAATACGAGCTTCAACAAAAACTAAATATTAGCAAAATATTACTGTTACTACTGAACAAGGATGAAGCGTTCTAGATTATAGAAGTCAGTCATTTGACCATAAAAAGGAGCTGGTAATAGAGGGATAAGAATGCAAACTATTTACACAGAGCATGTAAAACATCATTTAACAGTTAATTCACATTGGGTAATACCTGGTCATTGGTCCCAGTAGAGCAACTTAGGGGAAGCAACTAGTTCCAGAGGAAGCTTCTGGTTAAACAAAAGGTTGGTTTTCCTGGAATTGCTCAAAGGATTTAAATAATCTGTTATGTGCAGAAGAGGGCTGTTATAATTTAGCTGATGAAATCGAAATATAAGAGGTTCTACAGATGTAGAATATACTAAGAATATTAACAAAATCCCAGATGGGTATTAGGCTGACGTTGGTAAGTCCTTAGAAGGGAGCTTTAATGCTCTCTCTGCAGCATAGCCTGTTTTTAGGGATGATTTTTGGCTCAAACCACAATAATATAACAAGCAAAGTAAACTAGGGACAGATAGATGTGATGTGTAAAGCATACAAGCTGCCTGCCAGAAGTATAGCTGGTGGTTCCATTGGTTTCACCATTACTGTATGTAGAATTAAGTAATATAAAACACCATTATGTCAAAGCTACTAATCACCGACTGGAAGAGAACGAGTTTTTTTGTCAGAGACAAAAATGGGTGGGTTGTGATGGAGTTGGTATATGGACCAAATAAAATCAAGTTAAGAATGTTTTTACTTTACGTTTTTCATATTCTAGTGGTTGTTCTGGTCTTTTGCTGCTGGTTAAGCAAATACTAGGTTGACTAAGACAAAAAAACTTTTTGGGAATCTGTGAGAGCTTTGATTTCACCAGAGAAGCTTTTGGCTTGAGTCAAAGTCACCTGGACAGGTGTTAAGATTTCTTAGAGTTTGATTACATTCTGATTCAAGTCTTTGAGTTTATAGGTATCGTGTTTTTAGGATTAAAAGTAAAAGAGCTAAACTATAGTTAGATATTAGTTTACTTCTGTTGCTAGCGTCCAAATCCTCCAGCTAAAGACATAAAGATAAAGACCTACCTCTGCATAATGTAGAATCCTCGACGATGTTCATAAAAGATGTAAAACCATGTAGAAAAACTAGTGCTGAGAGCAGCTGGATATAAGAATCTCTGTGGGAAGTTAGTTGAAAGGGTATTGTATATTATTCTCATTGTATGAGAAGAGGAAGTGCTGCAAATATGTTTCCTCTGCTCATTTGTCATAACATCTACTACCAAAGGGTTCATGTAAAAATTATCTTAAAAACTCTATTCTTTCTCAAACTCCTGCTGTTATGTTATTTTATTTTAGTAGAGGTTACTGTCTGCAGTAACACCTGTCTACGTTTAAGGCTAGGCTTAAAACTTTCCTTTTTGATAAAGCTTCTAGTTAGAGTGGCTCAGGTTATCCTGAGCTATCTCTATAGTTCTGCTGCTATAGGCTTAGACTGCTGGAGGACATAGGGACCCCTTTTTCATCATTCTGCTTCATTCTATCTCTATTCTCCCACTCTGCAGAATCTGTTAGTTCAATCTCTAACGTTCTGCTCTCTCTGCTTTTTCTCATAGTAGCTTCATCTGGTCTGTTCCTGTTTGGCTGTGACTCCATCCTGGAGAGAAATATCAGCTGTGCTGCTGCCATCAACACCTTTGTTTCTAGATGTTGGAGCTTGGCCTGTTTTCCAGTGTAGTCCTGTTTCTCTGACTGTGACTAACTGGATGTGCTCTCTTCATCCTCTGACATGGGAGCTGGCTCGGAGCTCGTCTGCCTGGCTGTGTGTTTCCTGGACGGGGCCGCCTGTGGAGCTGGTTGACAGTTGCCTTTTGTATCTCTGCTTCTTTTTCTATGTCTGCTTCTGTCTCCTTGAACCCCAGTGGGCCTCAGCAGATGGCCGCTCACACTGAGCCTGGTTCTGCTGGAGGTTTCTTCCTGTTCAAAGGGAGTTTTTCCTCTCCACTGTCGCTACAAGCATGCTTAGTGTGAGGGATTGCTGAAGAGTCAATGAGTCGATGCAATCAGCTGGTTTTCCTTAGATAGAAAACTTTGAATCAATCTGACTGGATGATCTGGTGAACTGGAAAGTGCCTTGAGATGACATGTGTTGTGAATTTGGCGCTATATAAATAAACTGAATTGAATTTAATTGAATTTATTTTATCAAATGTTGTGTGGGATCCATACTAACAGTGTGTGTACACCTCGTTTCTATGGTTACCAATGGCAGCCGCAGGGAAGGGAGGAAGACGTATAGTTTAACTTAAATGTGTTGCTGAGTCCCAAGAGCCAGATTCTTCAGCTGAGGATCAGAACGCCCTTGACTGCCACCCATCACACATTGGACCAGACCCCTTTGGCCCCTTTGGTCCCAGGTGGGACGTCTCACCGGGAGGAGGCCCAGGACATGCTGGAGGGACTATGTTTCTCTGCTGGCCTGGGAACGCCTTGGGATTCCCCTGGAGGAGCTGGATCTATTGGCTGGGGTGAGGGACGTCTGGGCCTCCCTGCTGAAGCTGCTACCCCCGCAACCCGACCCCGGATAAGAGGAAGAAGATGGATGGATTGATGGATGGCGTTGCTGAGTGAGGTGGTGAGTCAGTTGTTTGGTAGTCATAGTTGAAGTTTAACAAATAAAAAGATCATACATTTTTTTTCTATCCTTTATTTAACCAGGTAATACCCATTGAGATTAAAAATCTCTTTTGCAAGGGAGACCTGGCCAAGATAGGCATCAAAATTACATCACATCATTACATGTGTACATAGACACACACATAAAAGCCAAATATGCACTTACAATAAAATTTCAATTTAAAACATTGACATGTGAGGGAGTCCAACTCAAAACATCTCATTCTCAGCTTAAAAGTATTCAAAGGAACCAATTTACTAAGTTTCAAGTTATTTTGCAGCAAATTCCATGTAAATGGAGCAGAGTAAGCAAAGGCCTTTTTAGCCAGCTCAGTACTGACACGTGGGACAATAACAAGACAACAGCCTGAGAACGGAGAGAGTAATGACCAGTACTTTTTTTTCATAAGAAGCAAAGATAAATAAGATGGAAGCGCACCAAGAATAGCCTTATATATAAATATATACCAATGACAAAGCCTCCGTGTAGCCAAGGCAGACCACCCTACACGAGAATACAGCTCACAGTGATGGGTGCGAGCTTTACAATTAGTAATAAATCTCAATGATGCGTGATAGGCTGCGTCAATCATCTGCAGGCATTGAGCAGATGAATGCATATATAATATATCACCATAGTCCAGCACAGTTAAAAAAGTGGATGCCACCAACCGTTTTTTACATTAAAAGAAAAGCACAGCTTATTTCGAAAGTAAAAACCCAATTTTAGTCTCAACTTTCTCACTAGACAGTGAACATGAGGCTTAAATGATAGGTTGTCATCAATGACAATACCAAGATACTTATAAGTTGAAACAATCTGTATTTCACGACCATCAAGAGTAACCACTGCAGGAACATTCAGTGACCTGTTCTGAAGGTCTGTGACAAGCATACATTTAGTTTTTTCTGCAAAATGGAAATACATTGAAAATCTAATGTGTGATTGATCATGTTAACAATATGCGGTGTTGTGCTTTCCGCTGGCTGGGATATCTCAATGCTAATGTTTATTCGTAAAAGTAGGTTAAGCTGAGGGCGTAACTTACTGTTGATTATGTTTAACACCTGTGGTGGAATTTGTGCTTTAACAGCCTGCAGCTAGGAACCATCGAGGGATAACTACGGTGGCTGAGAAGTGCAAAACACATTTACAATTCAAAAACACATTAACAAATAAAAAACAAAATAACATTTGAAGAAACTAAATTATATTTTATGAAACAAATGTATTTTTGAAATTTTTTTTTACATTTTTAAAAACAAATTTACATTTTAAACAAGTTAGATTGAGCAAGTTTCATTTAGAGAAAAAAAATACATTATAGGGAAACAAATTTACATCTAAAAAAAAGATTGACCGTTCGGAAACACTTGTACAAGTGCAAAGACAAAACTGCAAGCGGCAAAACACAGTTCCATAGCCAAAAACAAATGAACAAAAGACGGCTACACGGAAAGGGAATGTCCCAGTGGCCGGATGTGACGTCACCATTACCCTGACTTGTAGTACAAACAGCTCAATCTGTAGTCCTCCAGCTTCACGTGAAAAGTCAGCGGTGATTTTATTATTGTGGAGCAAATTTCAGCCAATTTACACCATTTTGTTCTTCGTGCGGACAGTCTCTGGAACTTTTACGGGACACGGACCAGGTGGCAGGACCACCGGAACTGCTGCAACGCAGCCACTGCCACGAATTGAGCTCGGCCCTGCTGCTTGGTCCTGCCACCTGGTCCGTGTCCCGTAAAAGTTCCAGAGACCACAATAAGGGCAAAACATTGTTCGTTTAGCGTAAACTTAAGAAAAACAGCTTCAGTGCAATTCTTTCCATCTAAAATCACCGCTGACTTTTCACGTGAAGCAGGAGGACTACAGATTGAGCTGTTTCTACTACAAGTCAGGGTAATGGAGACGTCACATCCGGCCACTGGGACATTCCCTTTCCGTGTAGCCGTCTTTTGTTCATTTGTTTTTGGCTATGGAACTGTGTTTTGCCGCTTGCAGTTTTGTCTTTGCACTTGTACAAGTGTTTCCGAACGGTCAGTTTTTTTTTAGATGTAAATTTATTTCCCTATAATGTATTTTTTTTTCTCTAAAATGAAACTTTCTCTCACCTAAAATCTAACTTATTTAAAATGTGAATTTGTTTCCTAAAATGTAAATTTGTTTTTAAAAATTTAAACTTTTTTTTCAAAAATACATTTGTTTCATAAAATATAATTTTGTTTCTTCAAATGTTATTTTGTTTTTTATTTGTTAATGTGTTTTTGAATTGTAAATGTGTTTTGCACTTCTCAGCCACCGTAGATTAGCCCCTGTAATTAATAAATTAAATCAAATATTTTATTATCCAGAAAATCTGGATAAGCTGCTCAACTATTACGAACAGGGACCAAAAATGGCAGCTATATCGGCTTATTACACGTAGCTGGTTTAACTGCTAAGAGAAGTACAATTGAACATCTGGGAGAATATAATCTTGATCTTTGACTTGAAAGTTGCGTACGCAAGTTTTAGGTGTCATATTTTGTTTTTGCAGGTTTGAAAAACTAGATCTCTGAGCATTGTGGATTTTTATATTCACCATCCTGATTCCAAATTGAATTACAGGTCTAAAATTACAAATATGTACAACATGTGCTGATCATCAGAATGTCAAAATACTGGGAGGAGGATTGAGGTGTGTAATTACATACAACTATTATTATACTACCATCTATCCCCATGGAGATTAATTCAGTTAATTTCAGTTCAGTTTATTTATATTTCCCCAATTCACACTCCTACAGTCAGATTGGTTCAAAGTTTTCAATCTAAGGAAAACTAGCTGATTGCATCGACTTCTTAACTCAGCAGCAATCCCTCTCACCTCCTTTAGAACATTTTCTCCTTGGCTTAAAAAAATTCAGCTTGTGTTATAGCTGATGGCAGAAAATATGTCGACTTTTGCTTTTCTTTATTTTTGAATTTGCATCAAAAACAAAACCAGCATGATACTCATTGTGCAAAATTTTTCATTTATATATTTGCATTTACATTCATACAAAATAAAAATGAAACTTTCTCCATGAATGAAATGAGCCTTGACATTGATTATAATTGCAGGGACATCAGTAAAAGTGATTTAACAATAGACAATATTCTGAAGAAAAAAAAAAAACATCCCACAACCTGTAAGTTATAGAACCTTACAGTAATGCCCAATTTTCACAGGCTCTTTTTAGAAACGAGTTTTCATTATTATTTTTAAATTCTGTGCAGGACTTGCTTTTGTTGTTCTCAGGTGCAGGTAAAATTTTTGTGCAAAATGTGGCTTGAACAGACTGCTTTTCACTGATTGACCATTGGATTAGGTTTTTGCAGTAGTCCTGGGAAACCTACAGGGAGCTGGGACCAAAAGTACCAAAGGCTAAAATCAGCAATACAACATGAGGAGAGGGACTCACATCCTGCAAAGCAAGGTCTTCTCCCTGCTAAAGTCAGCAGGGGCGT